AAGTGTGTAATCCTGAGTACAGATTTCTGCTTGTTGGCAGTATCTGGGCTCCCCTATCTGTGAGAAAGAGGAATGGAACACTTAATTTCATAATAGGAATGTAGATTATGGTAGATTAGAAGCAGTGTCAGCAACCCATTGGTTGGGAGGAGGAGTGTCATATAATTTATACATTCACTGAAATATCAGAAGTTTTAGGAATCATTTGGTTTTCTGAATCTAGGGGATTTTCTTCAATAGTTCTCTATCCAGAAATTTATCTTTGGATCTAAATTCTTGACTTAAAGTACCTCAAATAAACTTAGTGGTCTTTGGACTTAGACACTTTGCTATGAACTTGAGTTCTAATATTCACTTACATCCCTACATGGAAGTTATACAACTAACCAAATTCCCAAAGCCGTGATTCACTCTCCAAGACTGCTGAGCTTCTCTCAAACTGAGGTGTTAGATTCAGATGGCTAGTTGAATAATTTGAATAATAACTAGTAAAGATAACTCACTGTTACCCTTGGGGATCCCAATATACTTGTGCATAGGGCAATGTCCTGAATGTTTTGAAGGATAACAGCTAACTCCTCACACTTTGTCAAGGTGTCTGGGAATACAGAGCAGTCACCCAACTCTAGTACCATTTACACATCACTGATGTGGATAATGCTAATTGTCTTTGGGTTAATATTATTATTACAAGACAAGTAAAAAAAGTAACAAATAATGAGAAATATACATACATAAAAACAATGTTGCAACACTATGGTAATGGTTCAGTTGACAGACTCATCTGAGTTACCATATATGGTCATACAGGAGAGTGGGAATGACAGGGTGGTCCTAATTATCTATAGTAGTTCCTTCTGCTGGGAGTCTTTTTTTGCTGCCCACTACCCATACTGTAAGAAATGAGAGACAGGTCTCAATAGCACCAGTTTCAGTGAGTGACCACAATCTGGTTATCTATTTTATCCACAACAATAGACTTAAGAGCTACTGGAGCTTAAGTAGATGTTTCCAGTATATTATTTCTTATATTTTGTTTTATTTTATGTGTATGAATGTTTAGCCTACGTGTATATCTGTACAGCATGTGTATGCCTGGTACCCATGGAGACCAAAAAAGGGTATTAGATATCCTCAAATTGGAGTTATTGAATGTTGTGAGCTGCCAAGTGGATGCTAGGAATTGATCCCAGGGACTGTGGAAGAGCAGCCAGTGCTCTTAACTGCCAAGCCTTCTCTCCAGCCCCTCCAGTATATTCTTATTTTTTTGTTATGACAAACTTAGATTCCTTTATATTTTAATATACATGATTTCTATGCATGACTATGTATGACTTGGAGTTCACATATCAGATTATAAACACTACCCTAGGGAAGGTGAGAACTAAAAGTCTCATTGCTGAGCTGGTGAAGTGGATCAGCTAGTAAAGGCACTTAGTGCTAAATCTGAGTACCTGAGTTTGGTCACTGGGACTCACATAATGGAAGAAAAAAAACCTGATTCTCACAAGTTGTTCCCTGACCTCCACATAAATACACACGTGTGTGCTTGCACATAAACATCATGCAGTTTTTAAAATCTGTATGCCACAATAGAATATAAAAAATAATAAATGTGAATCAGATTTAGTTGTATAAATACATATACAATTAAAACTAAGATACTAAAGAAATAATTTTACATACTAGAAGATCAAAAGACCATCCATGCTCAAGGACTGGAAGAACTAATACTGTGAAAATGACTATTGTACCAAAAGCAGTCTACAGATAGATAAATGCACCCTCATCAAACCCAATGACATTCTTTACAGAACTAGAAACAATCCTAAAATGCAAGTGGAAGCACAAAAGGAAAGGCTCTGAGTAGTTAAAGCAGTCCTTGGCAGCAACAATGCAAGCTCCATAATATGATGCCCATTTACATTACAGAGTCCAGTAACAAGACAGCATAGCAAAGGAACAGGGCAGAGGACTCAGAAGGAAGTCCACAGAGCTAGAAGCACCTAACAGTTGATAAAGTTCTCAAGAATAAACATTAGAGAAGAAACAATCCTTTACAAACGATGCTGAGAAATTTGGTTTATGAATGTAAACGTATGCCAATATCAACTACCCTACACAAAAATCAATGAAAAAATGGATCAAGACCTTTATGTAAGATCTACAATTCTGAAACTTCAGAGGAAAACATAGCTAACTTATCTCAAGGTATAGAGGCAAGAATTTCTGGAAAAGACCCCAACAGCAGAGGAAATAACGCCAAGATTTATTAATAAATAGGAATCATATGAAATCAAGAAGCTTCATCACAGCCAAAGAGACAACCATCAGAGTGAGTGAAAAGACAGCTTATAAAATAGAAAACAAAAGCTGTGTGGCAGAGGTAAAAATGAAAGATATACAAAGATCTGCAAAATTTAGCACAAAAACGTCAATACTTTGCTAGTCCATAGCACCCCAGCCGGAATGCTATCCTCAAGAAAGTAAAAGGTAAAGGCTGGTGATGTGGAGAAGAGAAGGATGCTGGGAAGAGGATCTTTAATTTACTAATCGGAGAGAATGTAATCTCGTGCAAGGACTTTTGAAGTAAAGCATGGAGATTCCTGCCACATAACAGCTGTACACCACTGGATAAATACCTAAAGGACTCTAAGTGAACATAACATACATGTGATTATTGCTATATTAGTCACTTTTACTTGGAAATGGAACCAGTCTAATTGGCCATCAACAGATGAAGGATAAAGAAATGTGGTACATAAACACTGGAATTTTATGCAGCTGTAAAGGAAGAAAAAATTACATTTGTAGTGAAATAGGTGTGATTAGAATCATTGTTAAGATTTGTAGTGAAATAGGTGTGATTAGAATCATTGCTAAGCAAAATAGGACAGACTCAAAAATACCAATTTCCCCTCACATGCAAGAACTAAATTTATATATATATGTAAAATTATGTTTACATACATAAATATATATATATATATAAATTATGTTTACATGTGTGCCTCTATATTTGTAAGTCATGTATCAAGATGGGGGTAATGAAGAACTTTTACAGGGGTCAGAAAAACCGTAGTGGAATACATGTAATAGGAAAGCAGAAGGACAAAAAGGAAGAAACAACTGTAGAATGGGAGGGAACAAGGAAAAGCAATGGGAGAAAAAATGAGAACAGAGATGAGAGACTTGATGAAAACCATTGCTTTGAATGCTTGCTACCTTTAGAAATGGATGGCAAAATGGAAAACATTCCCACTCTTCCAGGGTAACATGTTTTTAATTACATAGTATGTATCCCCTTTGGCAAAACAGAAGTACAAGACAAAAATCATTGTGCTGTGTGCGTGCAAATTGTGTGTTTACATACAGTCCGCACTTGCTATTTGTACTTACAGGATACAAACTTTCAGAAGGCCTTTGCATTATCTGTCATAGTGCTGTGCCATGTGTGCGATAAGCAATGTCATGTGTCATAAGAGGATTAACTATCCTTGAAACACCTTTTAACTACTTTTTTTTTTTTTTTTTGGTTTTGGTTTTGGTATTTTTGAGACATGGTTTCTCCGCGATTTTGGAGCCTGTCCTGAAACTCACTGTAGACCACGTTGGCCTCGAAATTCACAGAGATTGCCTGCCTCTTGCCTCCTGAGTGCTGGGATGGAAGGCATATGCCACCACCACCCGGCCTTAACTACCCTTTTGTTATAGTAATTATCTGGCTGGAGAGATGGCTCCGAGCTTAACAGCACTGAATTTTCTTCCTGAGGGCCTGGGTTCAATCCCCAGCACCCACATGGCAGTTCACAACTGTCTGGAAGTCCAGTTCCAGGGAATCTGGCACCCTCACACCAGTGCACATAAAATAAAAGAAATGCAGAAGACAGATGTTTGTATGTTATAAGCATTTGAAAGGAAAAAGAGCCAAATCTAGTTTCAGAAAAATTAAAACAAAGAGGTAATACAGTTCATACACAAATTTTTGATGGACTATTAGCTAAAGGGAGAACAGTTGAAAGTTGCAATTATTCATGACCATTAAATAGAATTAATAATTTAAAACTAAGTTCCATCTGAGAACATAACTCCATGCTTGGGTACTTATTTAGCATTCACAGTGCCCCAAGTTTAATCCAAAGCACTGCCCTACCCCCTGGACATTCACAGTGCCCCAAGTTCAATCCAAAGCACTGCCCTACCCCCCTGGACATTCACAGTTCCCCAGGTTCAATCCAAAGCACTGCCCTACCCCCTGGACGGGAGGCAAAAAAAAAAGAAAGAAAGAAAGATAGTTTACTCTCCTCGTCAAATAAAAACTTTTATTTTCTTAAATATTTACTGTGACAGAAGAGTACATATTTTTTATTTATCCTGTATATATGAAAATGGCATGTGTGATTCTCCACAAATATCACATACTTTAAATCCAGTCCGAACTGGCCTAATTATTCTTTTCATCATCAAATTCTTGCCATTCATCCCTCAACCTAGTCCTGAATTACATAATTATTCTGAAATGTATTAAAACTTATTCAATAATATTACAGCGCATCATAATATTTGTCCTACAAATCTATGTGACTAACCCAAATTTGTTAAAAGATTGCTGACGTGGAAATATTACTGCACAGGTCAGTGAAATACACGCTAGCTCCACTAGACTAGCAAGTGAACAAAAATCTGCCAAAGAGATCTGAGGTGTTTCTCCAAAAGGGCAGGCATTTGTATGTAGTAACTGGCCCCTTTCAATAACTGTCTCTTTATAGCCAAAGGACATGGAAATCGAAGTCAGAGTGGAAAAAATGTATTCTTAGTCACCTAATATCTGTTAAGTGTTCAGTGTGACCAATAGTGTCTTAAGATTATTTGTATTCTGGTTTTTAATGAGTAGAAATTTCAAAAAGGTCCATCAACATTTCACCATCCATCTCATTCTCAGCAATGTTTGGTGGGAAAGAAACATACTTATTTTTCACTGTGCTGTTGATTGTTCGCAGGGTGACTGTGCGCGTGCAGACTGAGACTGGAAAGCAGGACTCCAGGTCAAGTTCTCACCTCATCTGCCGATGTGCTCCTGAGGGCTTGGACTTAAGTACCCACATTTATTCTTCTGTGTTTGATTATGCAGATGACATTTGCACAGCTCTATATATTACAATCCACATGAAAAGACTGGATTGTGTATAAATTTTACATCTATCAAATGTTTTTACAACAAATAAAAGAATAAAAAGCATTTATGACAGTCTTTTCTCTGAAATTTGTGAAACAGTGTAATTTTTTATTTTAGAATATCAGTCAACAAAACACAAAAGGTTTTTATGGCTAATTGAAATGTTTGCTAATTTGTTAATACTCTAATACTTGACATCCAGCAACTTCAAATAAATGAAAATTCCACTGTGAAAACCACAAACAACTATTAACCAAAAGTTTAGAGTCAGCCTTTTAAAAAATATCTAAAGTGGTATATTAAAATGTGTTTACAAAATTACCCATCATGATAATTATGATAAAGTTCAATCGTATGCTTGCTTTTCACAAACTAACCTTTTGAAACGCTAAGCCCCCAACCCCCTCCCCACTTAAGCTGTTTAGAGATGTCTTCCTGGGGCTGGGGTGTTCATGCTGGCATTAGAGCCTTTGTAGGAGCAGAAGTGCAAAGCTGCTCAGTAGCCTCTCAAAGACAAAGACAGTGCAAAAGATCCTGCATGCACAAGCTAGAAGAGGCTCCCGACTAGAGCTCAGCAATCCCTGTGCCTTGATCTTAGACTTGCAGCCTTCAGGTTATGAGACTATAAAGTTCTATAGTTTAGATAGCCAATTTCTGATGTTGTATCGCATAATTGTTTTATAAATAGTAAAATTTCATTTCACAACAGTTTCTGACCTAGCACACATAGCAGAATGTTCGTTGATTAAAATCTCAAGAAACACTTTTTATTATAATCAATATTATTAATTTGTAAAAATTTTTGATTTGCTTAATATAAAATTATATAGGTAGTTGCATTAGCTGATTGTTTTCATTTTATTTTAGATTCGTTATCCCAAATTTTGTTTGCTATGTTCTTCGCACTAAAACAGTGGCTAATAAAATATCTGTGAAGGCAAAACAATACTTTTGTTTTTCAGGATTTACTAGTTGATGCTGTCAGTTTTCCCTCTCATTTCAGTGACTTTTTTCTCTCTACTGTTAAATTAGGTATTATTCCTTCATGTAGGAACATTATTTTCTACCAAATGATGTTTTTTTTTAGTCACCTAATATTTAAGTGTGAGCAACATTCAGTGTATGTGAACACTAAGTTGTCAAAGATGTTTATACTGATTCTCAAGTTTGCAAGTAAAATGAAGGGTGGAAACAGATTTCCTCATCTCATACCTGTGTAATTTCACTGTCGCTTCGTAGTTTAAGATATCACTAAGCACAAGATGCTGCGAGTAGCCCAAATAATATGATTACTGGGAAACAAATACATAATTTGATTAAGCACGCTTTCTAAAGGCAGGTATGGCAAGAGTTGGGAATCCAGCCTTCAACAGGCGATCTTCTATTCCCGCGAAAGGAGTCTTAACCCTTGCACCTGCTGAGACGCGAGAGCCGCCCCCAGGTCGCCCGACTCCCCGCCCCTCCGCGGAGAGAGCGTTTCCAAGTAACGCCGGCGGCGTCACTTCCTGCCATTTAAACTCAGGCCCACCCTCGCCGCGCCGACCGCTCGCTCTCTGTGGTGCGCGCGCGCGCTTCTCGGCTCCGGGCGGCTGGTGGACGCGAGGGCGCCGAGGGCCGGGAGCGGAGTCCGCGCTCCTCGTCTGCTCGGCGGCAGAGCGGCTCCGGCGGGCGGCGGCGATGGCGGCGGCGGAGCCCGCGAGCTCTGCCCAGCCCACGCCGCAGGCCCAGGCCCAGCCGCCGCCGCCGCCACCTGGGGCGCCGTCCTCGCAGCCGCCCGCGGCGCTCAGCAGCCGGCACGAGAAGAGCCTGGGGCTGCTCACCACCAAGTTCGTGTCTTTGCTGCAGGAGGCGCAGGACGGTGTCCTGGACCTCAAAGCGGTGAGCGGGGGCTTGGCGGGGACGTGGCTTCGGGGCGACCGGGAAGCGGGTGGTGCAGGATGCGGGGCCCCACCGGCGGGTAGGCGCGTGGCCCTGCCTACAAAGAGCACCCTGAGCGGCGACCAAGGCCAGGCGCCCAGGAATGGGCGCTTTGCTCAGGACGCCGTAATGGACCGCTCTATAGGACTTTATTTCTGTTTGAAGAACTTTCTTGCTAGTTCTTCCGAATGAAAGGAAAACGAGAAAACTTCCACACCTCGCCGCTAAAATAATAGTTTTTAGAAGGGGAAACTCTTCATCGACAGTTAGGAAGTGAGATTGTCTTTGTTGACATAATTTGGAATCTTAAAGGTTTCTAGATGTGAGATTTGCTGTCGCACAGAGAGTTTTGTGACTTACAGACTAAGCTGTGGAATTGCTTAGTAAACTTTATGTGGTTTTATAAGAATGTTTGCTTCGTTCTTTGCTACGGTTCAGGCTTTTTCAAAAAAAAAAAAAAACGTTCATCAAAAGCTGTTCAATCATACAGTGATTTAACCGTTCCTGGCAGTACTTGGAAGGATTCCACAGCGCAGAGGGGGGGAAAGGAGTATGTGATCATGTGAATAAAAATCCAGCCAGTATACTGAGGTTAAGAAAGAGCCAATACTTTAAAAAAACAAACAAAATTGCTAAGGAGTCTACAATCACAGTGGACCGCCTCTGTGACTCCTTTACCTGGCTGTATTGGGAAAACTCGCAGCACCCAGGGACTAAGTACTATGCCACCTTCCTGGCTTGAAGCCATTACCATCCTCACTTCTGTGCCCAAGCAAAGGAAAAAGTGTCCGAGCTGGAGAAGTTTGCTGTCCATCCTCTTGTGGTCCAGTGGGAGGCACTAGGTTGTTGGCTCTGAAATTGCCCCCCCTCTTTCGTGGGGGTAGATGCCAGTAGGTTTCCGTTCTTATTTGGAAATATTATTCCTGGGACTTTTTTTTTTTTTGGTCACTTTTGAAAATTCTTTGTATTCTCATTCATATTCTCTCTCTCTCTCTCTCTCTCTCTCTCTCCTCGCCCCTTTTCTTCCCCTTCTCTCCCCTTTCCCCCCTTCCCTCAATCTTTTTCCCTCCTTAAAAATACTTTAATGGGCATCTACGGTATTCAGGTTGAAATGAATTAAAATGGTATGGTTTCCAATTTCACTGGCAGTAATGAGAACAGCAGAGAAACCCCTGATGTTACAAACCCCCATTGAAATCTGGTCTTCAGAATTAAATTCAGCTGTAGCCAGTGACTGTCAATATTTTAAAAAAAGTCAGGAAATCCCGGAACTTTTTGGGTAAAATGGGGGTTTGATGATTCATCCTGAAACATGCTCAAAACTCAGAATTCCCTTCCAGATTTGGATATCTGGCTTCCTTCACCTGGATGACAGCAGGTTCAGGCATCAAATAGCAGTTTGATATGCAAGAGTCTTATTTCAGTTATCTTGGATCTGTCCTAAAGAAATGTTCACAGATTGCTGTAATGATGTAAGGGTTAATGATTTATTCTGTTTCCTAGGAAGAAAAACGTTTTATTTATGCATACAATTCATGTTTATAAATACATAAAAAATATACAGGACAACTTACAGTGAGGCTGTTTCTCATAGTACATCATGAAATATTAAGATATCCTAACAATATGTGTTGAAGATGGTCTTGTACTGACACTAAATTTCTGTCTGAAAAATTTAAAACACTTTCTTATTATTTTTTAATTCTGACTCTAAGTAAAGAACATTTTTCTGTATAAGCTATTGATACAGGCTTTGCATTTAATTTTTTAATTAATAAAAGAATCCAATTTTGTGAAAAATCACAAATATAAAAATATACTAACTTTCCCATCAAATATCCTGAGGACTGTGTAAATGGTGCTGCCCCAGTGTGAGCCTGATACACAAACTTAGGGAAGTTCTGGGTTAGGTCTGCCAAATGAGAGTGAGCGTTAGAAGCTAGGCTTAATTTCTGTGCTGTACTGCCTTTCTAGTAGTCCTTAAAAATAAACTTAAGTTTTTATGTGTCTCTGTGAATCTTTCAGGAAAGAAAAATGCATCATTTTACTCCTACGGTAGGCAGTGGGCATCTGTCTGCACAGGAGGGCACTGATGGCAGATTCTGTAGAGATAGATTAAACTGATGTTTTCTTTTTCTGTAGCTTAGTAACTGTGAACAAGAGTGTGGGTAGGTGTTCTGAAAATTCCTTTTCACTATACTTTACATATGGAGTTTCTATATTTTATTTAACATCTTTGTGCCATCTTGATCTTTGTAAACATAATCTGGGTTGTGTATGTTGTATACTATAACTACCTAAGTTACAATTACCTGAATGACACCTAAGTATTGGTGCGTTCTCTCCCAGATCCAGACACATACGTAATAAATGACCTAACTATACAACCTAGACAAGACATAATTCAGCCACAGGCTCTGGTAGGTAACAAGGTTTCTGAGGTAGTTGACACAGGGAGGTATGCATGAAGCATTTCAAGAGTTCGATGCTTGCTTGAAGTTTCTCAGGACATCACTCCTGGATATATGCTATGCCTGCTGAATTGAAAGTGGGGTCTGGAATAGGATGTATTTGTAGAATCTATGTTCATGTCAGTGTTACTTTAATAGTCAAAAGATGGGTAACTCAGATGTCTTCCAGTGGATAATCAATTGGGATACGCAGGCCCAATGAGGGGCTTTCTGCTTTAGAAAGAAATTCTGACATGTATAGCAGAGGTGATCCTTGAGGACTTTATACTGAGTAAACAGACAAGTGCTGTATAATCCTTTTCCTTAATTTTTATTTTATGTGTATGAGTGTTTTGCCTGCATGTATGTCTGTACTACATGCAGATGTCAGAAAAGGGCATCTGATTCCCTGAAATTGGAGTTACAGGTGAGGTGAGAGCCATTCCATGGAACTAAACATAGGTCCTCTGGAAGAGCAGCCAGTACTCTTACATTAAGTGCTGATCCATCTCTCCAGACCCAACAACATACAACATACAACAGTATGATTTTTATTTGAGTATTTAAGAGTACTCAAATTCTTAGAAACAAAGCAGGAGAATGCTTACCAGAAGATATGGCAGTATAGAACAAAAATTCTGTAATTGATAATGAGGTTATAGGCTGAAGAGTCAAAACTTGTCAAAACTCTTAGTGCCCCTCATCCCATTCATTAATATGGAACTACATTTGAGGGAACTTTCATAAAAAGAAGGCTGAGTTAAATGACATTATCAAGGTGTGCCCTATTAAATCTCCTCAGTGTCCCTGTGACAGCAAATTTGGATACACAGAACCAGCAGGACAGTTCACACATAGAATAGAACATGTTAGAACAAAGCAGGAGGGGAAGGGATGGGAGATGAGGGAGGGCAGTGGGACGGGTGTCAAGAACAGATTAAATATAATGACATGTTGCAGTATACCAACCAAACCTTTGTATGCCAGCCAAAATAATAATTATATAAAAGGATTTTCAAACTATACAATTAATGGACGCAGGCAGATTTCAATTTATAGATTTCAGAGGATCACTATGGTTTTCCTAGTTACATAGACACTATCAAATACCTTTTTTCTCCTTGATTATTCTTTGGTGACTTGCATAAGAAAAGAACTTTATTTTTAAAAGCTTATAAAGAGTTGATTAAAATAGCATCAGAAGAATATTCAAAATAGTACAGTGGCAGTCAGAGTAGCCAGACACAGGGTATTCTTAGGTGCAGTTTCTTTGGGGCAGAGCATTGATGCAAATTGAAACACTTACAGTGTAAATAAATGGTGCTGCAGGAGTGCCCTTCTGCTTAGTGTAAGCATTTATTGGTATTTCATTTCCTTGTTGATTTACGGCCCCTACAAGCCTGTTAGGAATATTTTCCTAATGCAAGCTCTCTGTCGAAGCAAATTCCCAATCCAGCCAAATCAAAACAAGCCAAATTAAGAGATATCCAGGTTTAATGGGAGTTCTGTACTCTAGGGGGCCCTGAGGGGCCAGGAACGCAAAAAAAAGACGTGTTCCTCTTTTGGGGGTTCACTTATGCATTCTTGGGAGTGGTCTTGACACCACCACCACCCCCCCCCCCCGGGAGGGGTCAGGACCTGCCTGCTGGGATATGCATTTCAGACCAATACAAACGCTCAGGCCTGGAGGCTGGGATAGATGCAAGGGGCTGGGGTCTATTTGGAAACAGAATGTTTTTGCTCTCACCTTAACTACTCCCCTTTCTTCCCAGGTTCATAGCATTTTTAACATCTCTCTTTTTTGTGCTAGGGATTTCACCTAGGGATCTGCACAGGTTTGGCAAGTGCTGTCATTGTAGTTTTTGGATTGCTCTTTCTTTTCCTTTTTAGATTTATTTATTTGTACTGTTGTTTTGCCTCGTGCATATCTCTGTGCACCACCTGCTTGCAGGGCCAGTGGAAGTAGAAAGATGCCTTGGTTCCTTGGAACTGGAGTTCCACATGCTTGTGAGCCTCCATGTGGGTGGTGCTAGGAACCAAACTCAGATCCTCTGAAAGAGCAACAAGTGCTCTTCTTAACAGCGAGGCCATTTCTTCAGTCCCTACAGCTTGATGCTTTAAACGCCATCTCTCTCTCTTTTTTATTTCTTTTTTTATTACTTTATAAATAATACCAATTAAAATTCCCATTTCCTCCCCTCCACCCACTTCCCTCCCACTCCCCCATACACCCTTCCCCCCAACTCCCTTCTGTCCTGAGAAGGGAGAAGAGAGGGTAAGGTACCCTGCCCTGTGGGAAATCCAAGCTCCCCCATCCCCATCCAGGCTTAGGAAAGTATGCATCCAAAGAGAATAGGATCCCAAAAAGCCAGTACATGCAATAGAGACAAATCCCAGTGCCATTATCATTGGTCCTTCGGTCTTCCCCAATTGTCAGCCACATTCAGAGAGTCCGGTTTGATCACATGCTTGTTCAGTCCCAGTCCAGCTGGAGTTGGTGAGCTCCCCCATTAGCTCAAGCACACTATCTCAGTGGGTGAACCAACCCCTCGTGGTCCTGACTTCATTGCTCATCTTCTCCCTCCTTCTGTTCTTCAACTGGACCTTGGGAGCTCAGTCCAGTGCTCCAGTGTGGGTCTCTGTCTCTATCTCCATCCATCGCCAGACGAAGGTTCTATGGTGAGATTCAAGATAGTCATCAGTCTGACTATGGGACAAGACCAGTTCAGGCACCCTCTCCTCTACTGCCCAGCGTCCTAGCTGGGATCATCCCTGTGGACTCCTGGGAACCCCTCCAGAGCCAAGCCTCTTGCAACCCCAAAATGGCTCCCTCCACTAAGATATCTCCTTCCCTGCTCCCATATTCGTACTTCCACCATCTCACCCATCGCTCTCCCCAAGACTCCCCTTCAACCCTTTCTCTTCCCTCTCCTCTTCCCTCTCCCCTCGTTGCCTCCATGCTCCCAACTTTTGACTGGCAATCTTGTCTACTTCCAATTTCCAGGAGGATCTATATATGTTTAAACACCATTTTATGAGATATTATCTGCATAGATATAGACTTAAGAATATATGAGATTTTTTTTTTATTTTCAGTAAGCAAATAAGTGGAAATTAAATTTCTGCTTTTCTGCCTTTATCAACCCCTTATGGAACCTATAGTGAAGTTTTATTTAAGTCACCTCTTTTTTTTTTTTTTTTTTTAGTTTTTCGAGACAGGGTTTCTCTGTGGTTTTGGAGCCTGTCCTGGAACTAGCTCGTCGAGCATATACTGAATTCATATGCCCAAATGATTTAGTCTTCTAAATTGTATAAAATGGCTCACCAAGGCCAGCTGGACTGTGACCGAAAAAGCATGGGATAAAACCGGACTCTCTGAACATGGCGAACAATGAGGGCTGATGAGACGCCAAGGACAATGGCACGGGGTTTTGATCCTACTTAATGTGCTGGCTTTGTGGAAGCCTAGCCAGTTTGGATGTTCACCTTCCTAGATATGGACGGAGGGGGGAGGACCTAGGACTTACCACAGGGCAGAAAACCCTGACGGCTCTTTGGACTGGAGAGGGAGGGGGAAAGGAGTGGGGGGGAGGGGGAGAAGGGTGAGAGGAGGGGGAGAAGGGTGGGAGGAGGGGGAGGGAAATGGGAGGCTGGGAGGAGGTGGAAACTTGTTTTTTGTTTATGTTTTTTTTTCTTCTTTTCTTAATAAAAAAAATTATTAAAAAAAAATAAATAAATTGTATAAAATGTTTTGTCACAATTTTATTTTTTGAATAGAGGACTAATGTAAAATTTTACCCTATTATTCTTTAGTTTTATGGGCTTTGATGAGTTATTGTGATCTTTACATTAGATAGCATCTATAAAGTCCTGTTACCCTATTACTACAGGTTAAAATCAAGCATTTTACATGCTAATTATAATGAGCTGTGTGTGTAATTCGGTAATAATTAAATTAAGGAAATAGATCAGCATAAAGAGCCATGTCTTAGGGTTTCTACTGATGTGAAGAGAGCCCATGGCAACTCTTTTGTTTGTTTGTTTTGGGTTTTTTCAAGACAGAGTTTGACTGTGTAACAGCCTGGGCTGTGAGCTCACTTTGTAGACCAGGCTGGCTTCAGACTCACAGAGATCTGCTTGCCTCTGCCTCCTGGGTGCTGCTATTAAAGGCATGCGCCACTACCGCTCGGCCCGTGGCAGCTCTTACAGAGAAAAACAGTGCAGAGGTTCAGTCCATTATCATCATGGTAGGACATGCCATTCACATAGATTTCCTTTCTTCTGTTTTCTTCTCACTAAGACTCTTCTGATAGCAAACAGAGAAGACACTTTGAAGTATGAAGTCTAATTTTCCCTGTGCTCAAAACTGCCTAGTGGCTTTCCGTCACTGGAATTAAAAGCTGATACCTTCACAATGACCCAGAAGGTCTGTTTTCTCTCTCTTACTGCTACGAGAAACCACACCCATAGAATCTCGCCTACAGGAATGCTCACACATGAGCTGAACAAGGAGGGCACCAACAAATATGCCAGAATGGACAGGGAAAAGCCAATGAGGCCTCAGCCCCACACAAAACTATAGGCAAGTGAGGAAAGTTGGGAGCAAGACAGGTGGTTCTCCCTAGGGAAGAGCAATCCAATTGGATGTCCAGTGGTAAGTGGTCAGCTCTGAATAGGTTATGTATGTATGTATGAATGGATGAATGTAAATGATTGACTATGGTTGGAACATATAAGTCAAATAAACCCTTTCCTTATTTCCTCCCATTGCTTTTCATGATGGTGTCTTATCACAACAGTAGAAACCCTAATTAAGATAGATGAGTGAGTCAAGTAGTGATGACCTACAAGAGCTGGTAAACATGTCTTAGGCTGTAAATCACATTTGTTAAAATAGAATATGTGCTAGAAATTGTCAGGAGGGCCATTTAACTACTATTTCATAAGTACCATGAATTGTAGAGTGGGACCCTACATTACTGATTTAGGCTGTTGACTCTGAAAACGGATAACCTCTTTTTCTGAAGTTCTTTCTTAGTGGGGAGCTGATCACAGGAATTCCTTGGTCTTCATAATGTTCATTCGGGTTCATCATGATAGTATTTGTGTTTCTCTTACCTTGTAGGAAAGAAACAACCATACTTTTTTTTTAAAAAAAAAATCGCTAGAAACACTGCTATGTTTAAGATTTTTATTTCTTGTTGATTTAATAGTGTTGGGGTAGAAAAATTCATCCATGCAATAAAGCTTTTAAAACGCAAATCATTATTAAACAAATTTACAATTTGTGCATACATATAATGCTGACTCCCTTTATTCCTTAATTGCCAAAAGGCTCAGATACATAAAGAGTAAGGCTGTCTTTTGATGAGATTCTTATAGGAAGTGAAAGACTTAACAATTCCTTCTCAGCTTAGTCTTTGAGGTGACAAAAATTACTACCGTGTTGTTTTATTAGAGATACGGCTTCTGTTGTGACAGCATTTTTTTCTTTAACATCTTCTACTGTTTAGATGGAATAATTTCTCTGGTATTTGCAAAGTCTGGGAAATGTTTCAAATATATCTAGTTAATGTTCTCAGGAGACTGAGTGGGTCATATTTGGGACAATCACCTCTCTCTCTGGCTTTATATATACATGGTACTTTCTTTGTTCTTTTTGTCCTAAACAGGCTGCTGATACTTTGGCTGTAAGACAAAAGCGAAGAATATATGATATCACCAACGTCTTAGAAGGAATTGATCTAATTGAAAAAAAATCAAAGAATAGTATCCAGTGGAAGTAAGTCACAAACCCTACCTAAAACCAATGCTAGGTAGAAAATGAACATCAGAGCTTTCTTTTTCACAAATGTTCAGTTTTAGTCAGCTAATCACATCAGACTTCTGTCCCCAGGACAGACTCTCTGGGCTTGCCTATCTGTCCATTATGTGTTGGATGCTTCCTTGTTCTCTCCACTGTTTCATGTATTAGCTATGGCATGACTATGTGCTTCTGACAAGTATATTCTGCTTTTAGAATACTTTCTTTGGCCTTAGACTTTTTTTTTTGTTAGAATTCTGCCCCCAAACCAGATATAGTTATCTTCACCAGCACCTCAGTGTACATCAGGAGACTAACTGTTTAGCTTTGATGTGATTTTGGTCCCTCAGTTACTAGCTTGGCCTTTCTGGTGTTAAAAAGGCATTCTAGCATATACTTAGAATTTCCAAAACATATTTCTTGTCATTAATTTTTTGTATTATTCGAAAGTTTTTTGTTTTTAAGATTTACTTATGTGCATTTGGTATTTTGACTGCATGTATGTCTGTGTGAGGATGCAGATTTCTTGAAACTAGAGTGACAGACAGTTGTTAGCTGCTATGTGGGTGTTGGGAATTGAATCCCGGGTCCTCCGAAAGAACAGCCTTTAACTGCTGTGAGTCATCTCTACAGTCCCCTTTCAGATTTTCTAAGCAAGTACGTTTAGAGCTTTGATGTTTAAATTTTGTAAGGATTTTAATGTGTGGTTTTCAGAAGAATGTAAATGCATTTGATTAACCTTTAAGTCAATTTTATTACTATAAAAATTAAATGCTATTAAATGGGTGTCTGATCCTGTGAGAATTTATTCTCATGCTTTTAAGGGGTGTAGGCGCTGGCTGTAATACTAAAGAAGTTATAGATAGATTAAGATTTCTTAAAGCTGAAATTGAAGATCTAGAATTGAAGGAAAGAGAACTCGACCAGCAGAAACTGTGGCTACAACAAAGCATCAAAAATGTGATGGAAGACTCCATTAATAACAGATATCCTTCTGAGTAAGTTATTCGTCATATAGCACAAAATGTAGTGCATCTTTAGTAGTACTCAGATCAGTTATCTGGTTCTTAAGCAATTAAGTTTTACAAATATAACATTTTATAGCTCTCTAATAACAGACTGGTATTTTAAAAATACTATCATTTTAAGTTGTATGGTATTAACATTCTTGTACTGAGGGGAAAAGATACATGTTCTCTCAGCATATGACTGGCAGGATGCAGTATCGTAGCTTAGTACAGGGGTCTGAATATTATTGCTAAGTATATACGGTACTTTAAATAATTATGTCCAGTTCTAGCTTTCAGTTTTGAAAAACTAATTTTTTAAGGAGTGTCATAAGTTTATATTCCTTGATGCTTCTTCCTAATACTAACCCAAGACTGGTTTCTCCTACTACATAGAGGAATATTAATGCCACAAGGTATATGTTCCTTTCACACCACTGTCTATGGAGATCTCTAGTGTTTGTCTTCCTTTGCAGTTAACCCCCACACACACACCTCATAAAAATAGTTCGGTAATGTATACAATATATTCATCATGTTGTCTTGTTACTTTTGTGTGGGAGTTAGAGCTCCGTAATCATGTGAGAACAATGGGAATTTTCAAGTTGTATACCATGGAAACCGAAGATTTGCAAACCATTTAAGTGATCTAGATTTTGTTGCCCTGCTTTATATAGCTTAACAAGATTTTGGTCATTTACAAGTGTCTAAACTATGACTGTACATATACTATATAACTTAAATAGTGGTGATTTTGATATGTCGAAAATATATCTATCTGGGAAAAGGGTGCCCTGCATTTAGCCAATTCTTAGAAATGGCAAGGGCTTAACCAGGAGTAAAGTTGTAGTCTTAGACCATACATCTGGCCTATATACCCAGGAGGCAATATTCCTTCTACTTCATCATCCCAGGACCAGGAAAAGGCAACCCCTGGGGTCCTATAGGAAAGAGTTGGTCAAAATTATTCAAACTAACCAATTCTGAAGTGTTTCTGTTTCTCCTTCCCTGCCTTACTTTTCATATGAAGGCCCAAACAAAGATTCTGGACTAATGCTTTCACCTACCTTCTAAACTCACTGCTCTGTTTCCCATCTGTGACACTTCTGTCTTTAGGAGCTATGAGTGTAATATATTTTGTTTGCCAGAGCCTCCTCTCTTTCTATGGCCATACAACTTAAAAGAGCAGCAGCCTGTATGGCCACTCTTCACTCAGCGATGATGCTCTTGCGCATCCATTCCCATGCACTCACACCTCTAGTGTATGTACCATTTTGCATCATAACCCAAAAGTCTTCAGATGTCACAAACCAGAATGGCTACTTATTAAAGCAACATGTAGAAACTCTGCCTACAGACTTTTGATTGTCTTTGTCTTTCTAAGGACTTGCACTTTTTGTCTCCCCGTGTTATATTGCCTTCATTCATTTGATTTCAATTTGGACTTCAGGTTTATTAACAAGTGTTAGGCCTTGATAGAAATGTTGTTCCTTAACTCTTATGACAGTACGTTTTCTTATGTAACTCACGAAGACATCTGCGATTGCTTTAATGGTGAGTACTGTTAGCCTTTTCTTACATTCTTCCATTTGTTTATTTGGTTTCTGGAGACAGTGTTTCTTTGTCTAGCCCTGGCTGACCTCTGATTTAGACATCCACCTGTCTGTGCCTCCCAAGTGCTAGGATTAAAGGCACAAGCCACTGCATTCTTCCTTTGAACAACCTGTTGACTGTAGTTTCTCACAATTCCCCCCATACACTCAGCCTGTATTTTCAGGAGTTGTCTTTCTCTGTAGTCATGTGCTGACAGGCTGCTTACAGATGTTTTCATGGCAGTAACCAACCGTTTTCACAGCTTTTACTTTATGTGTGGGAGGGCACAGGAGCCAGGGGATGCGGAACTTAAATGAGCAGGATTTAGTAGACTTTTCAAGGTCCCAGGAGCATAGGAACTTGAAACATAAGCATTGTTTCATGAAACTGTATATAGCAGGTACTAGTCACAGGTAGAACCCAGGGAACTCTTGAGGAAAGTTAGGTGAATCTGTTTCATAATGATGCCTCTACCTCACTATATAGTTAAGTATGACCTTCTGATCCCTCCTGCCTCTTCCTCTTTGGTTCTGGGTTTTAGGCATTGTGCCATCACTGCTGATTTTTGCGGTGTTGGGGAAAGACCCCGGGGGATTGTAGTGGGCAGGCACTCTGCCAGCTGAGCTACACCTCTAGCTGCTTTTTTATTTAATTTCTGATAGGTTTTCAAGTGGGCCTAAAACTGGCCTAGAGCTCACTGTGTAACAAAGGTTAGCCTGGAATTCTTAATTAATCTGCCTTCACCTCTCAAATGCTGGGATTAAAAATATGCATACACCAGCACACCTGGTAGCCTGGCAGTGAATCCACACTTTTTTGACTTTTCTCTCATTCTCACCACGTCCTTTGAACTATTGCATTGCATTCCATAAGTATTTATCATTTTATTTTATTTTGCCAGGTGATACACTGTTGGCCATTCAGGCTCCTTCTGGTACACAGCTCGAAGTACCTATTCCAGAAATGGTATGTAACATAGCTTTTATACAAGTGAAAAAATAATTCTGTTATCTCAAGAGAGGCAAATGTATTTTCTTGAGCTAAACAAGAACGAATAGTGTATGGACACGAATTATTGGTATTAAAATATATATCTGAAAGCACTGACACCTAAATTTGGGTGCCTTCAACTTTAGTAAAAGTAGCTAAATGAATCTATACTTCTCCCCTATTCTCACAGTATTTAAGAATTTGCATTATTGTATTTTTAACCTTTAAGAAACAAATTGCCTTTTGGAAAAGGAAGAATTTTGTATCTATGTAGGAAGTCAGGTCCAGTTGTCTTTTGATTAATGGGTGGGAAAGTTTTGGTTTCTGAAATTTGCAAATTTAAACAGGATGTTTAGATAACCACAGTCATGGTAGCTTTCTCCAGAAGATTAGAATTCATGTATGTGGACACTTTGTACAACATTACTGAGCACAACTAAGTAATATTACAGACAGTGAAATGGATGGTGGTGTAGAAACTTGAGGTTTAAAACCAACCTGGACTACACAGTGAATCTGTCAAGTAAAGATGAGAGGGAGGGATGGGAAAGAAGTGAAAAGAAAGCAAAAGGAAAAAGTGGGGCAGGGAAGGAGGGAAAAATGGGACAAATTGATTGTTTAGAATTCAACAACTACCTGTTTGATGATACCACAGCTTACCTTTTAGGGGCAAGTGGCTTAGAGACCTTAATATTACATTCTACTTTGGTCTTTTCTCCAGTGTTGCAACCTAGTGACTTTGTCGTGTGAGTTTAGTTGTTAGATCTTAATGACTTTGCCTGTGTTTGTTTTAATGTTTTATGTTAACTAGCAATGATTAAACTCATTTGTTTATGCCCAATGACTTTAAAGGGTCAGAATGGACAAAAGAAATACCAGATAAATTTAAAGAGTCACTCAGGACCTATCCATGTGCTGCTTATAAACAAAGAGTCCAGTTCATCTAAGCCGGTGGTTTTTCCTGTCCCCCCACCTGATGACCTCACACAGTCTTCCTCCCAGTCTTCAATGTCAGGGACTCCACAGAAATCCACCATGGCTGCTCAGAACCTGCCCGAGCAGCAAGTTTCTGAAAGAAGCCAGAGTTTCCAGCAGATACCAGCTACAGAAATATCTTCAGGTTGGTAGAAAGCCTTTGATCTAAAAATTTCAGGTGAAAATATGAATACTATATGAAACAGATAAGAGCTTTTATCTGAGGCAAAATAAGCTTATTCTATGTTTTAGTGTCCTCTATAGTCTATAAACCTAGCACTAGGATAGTTATTATAAGGAAGATTCTGAAGCAGACCCTGTCTTTCTATATTGTTAGACATAATATGTATGTGTGTATGCATATTGTATATGCATTTTGAGGGAAAGAACCCATAAGGAATACTTAAACCATTTTTACTGAAAACTTCACACACTGGCGCGGAATTGAACAGTATGTTATGATCAACAATTTTGTACGTACTCCTGCCACAGGCAATTTCAAGCTATCCACCTGAATCACTGGTCTATTAATATTAGCCATAGTGTCATATGAGATACATATTTGTATGTATGGGTATATGCACGTTACAGGAATATCTAATCAGTAACAATGTTTAAACTATATAGAACTTTTGTTTCTGAACAATTAACAAAAGTCACTGCAGATATTAAAAGCTGTGTTATATAATGTTTATTGTTTGCTAATAGGATATTGCTTCTAATCCTAAATTTCACAATCAGTAACAGTGAAACTAGACATTAATGGGACATGGGTTGGTTTTAGCTTTGTGTTCCATACATACATCTTGCTTCTCTCTAAGTTTATATACTCTAGCTGAAGAGCTGCACAAGAGAAAGTATAGTGTTGAAGAAAGTACTAATTAATTCCAAATTAATTGGAATATATGAAGTAAATAAATTGTATATGCTTTAGCTTAAACCCAGTTGGTACCCTGGCTTCCAAAGAACATTTTTGAAAAATTTCTGTGTACCATTTGGTATAGTGAGAGGAGTTACTTGGGGACACATTAGAGGTTTGAAATATCAGATGAAAATGCTAGCTAATAAACCAGCTTTGTATGAGGGTAAGCAGACATTAGTTGTGCAATGATGATTATGAGGGTCTGGTGACTTGGAAGCTTCAGAGATTGAAGATGAGATGTTTGCAGTTTCCACAGCTGAGACAACCTAGGACTAGAATAGGGTGCAATGAGGGGGATAGAAAACAGAAGTAATAAGCTGAAGAAATATTGTTTAAGCAAAGCAAATAAGTTTGGGTGTGTAAGGTACAGAAATAAAAATGAACAGGAGAAATGAAGTGTTGTTGAGTGAGTTGAATAATATACTCTTTACAGACTCAGTTTTAGAAGAATGGGGTCTTTTCCTCTGTGTCTTCAGTTTGCAAGTTTAAAAGCATTCCAAGAAAAGTAGTTTCTCATGAAATTGTCTTCCCAAAATGTAGTGGTACTTTTAATTTGATTCTGCCAATCAAACTAGTAATGTGATTACCACTATTGAAATGTAATTGCCTCTATCACATTTGTGTTTTCAACAGGGTCTATTAGTGGAGACATCATTGATGAACTGATGTCTTCTGATGGTAAGTAGCTGAAGATTTTACTACTGGATATACCTCACTATCCTAAAGTGTAAATGCCATGTGACTCAAGATTATAGTAGGCATCTTTTAAAATTCATATTTACTTACATTTTTAGGGAAAGAACCCAAAAGGAATACTTAACCACTTTCATTGAAAACTATTCACATACTGGCACAGGAGTAATGAATAGTATGTCACAGTCAAGTAATTTCAAGCTAACATTGGCCAGTGTCATATGAAATGTATGAAATAATCATTAAAAACCTGTTATGTATAGTATGCTAGTTAATCATAACCCATGTAGAAACCAACCGTAACAATGAATGTTTTCCTTTTTTTGCAGTGTTTCCTCTCTTACGGCTTTCTCCTACCCCAGCAGATGACTACAACTTTAATTTAGATGACAATGAAGGAGTCTGTGATTTGTTTGATGTTCAGATACTAAATTATTAGATTCCATGGAAACTTGGGACTGTTATCTACCTCTAACTGTAACATTGTAGAATTCTTAATAACCTAAGTATTTAAAATTATGAATGTAATACCATTTTAGTTCATCGAGTCTGAAATATTCTTCACTAACATTTACTTCACAAAACTTGAAAGGGCTCTGACTGTTTCAGGGGGGATGATTAACTGTCTACCAGCATGCCCCTCCAGTGATTATATTCAATTTCTTTCAAAGCTGAATTCTGCTGTAGCTTCTCCTAAGAGAAAAGTTAAAGCAGACTTCAGGTCACCACACGAAAACATTGCCCAGAAGATTTGATTTGTCTATATTTTTACTGCCACAAAGTTATATCTATATGTCGTTCAGAAATTCACTGCCACAGATAAAGTGAAGGGCGTCACTATTGAGTGAAGAGATTTTGTGAAGTGCCTTCTGTTTTAGCACTTTAAGCCTATCAGTTTGCTGACTTCTGACATTCTACTTTCCTAGAGTATAGGAAAGATCTGTTTATGTAGTTTGTTTTTAAAATGTGCCAATGCCTGTACATTAACAAGATTAAAACAAATAAAGTTGTATAAAGCATTCAATTTATTGATCTTTGGGGGAGAGTCACTGTGTTACAATTGAGCCATTAGTCTGGTTGCTTCATCAACATTAGCTGGTTCATTTTCATGGTGCTTCTGAGGAATCAAAGGGGAAAAAGTTAAAACAAGCTAAAGTTTAAACAAAAGCAAACTAAACCACCTTGAATACAAGCTGCTACCTAGTTTAATTCTTCTAGTTTACCTTTGGAAATAAAGTAAATTCTATATTCAGACTTCATGTATGACCTAAAATGCTATATACACCAAAATGCCAGGTAAAAAAATGCTTACGCTTCAAGTGTGTTAGCCTTCACTTAAGTGTGTTATGAAACTAATTTCTACTTACCAGCTCCTTCTGCACAGATTTCAGAGAAAGGCTTTTTGAAAAGCTTGCAAGTTCTTTCTGTATGTTTACAAAAGCTCTGTTCATTCTGTTGACTTTTTCATCATTCATAATGTTTATCTGTTAAAAAAAAATTACACTCTCATAACTACTAAAGTACTGGGCTGTGTAAATGTCTTCTCAAACACCCTCTCCCGCTCCTACCCATCATGCATGTGGCACAGACAAACAACTGAAAAAAGTTTTTAAAAAGTCTATAAACTCTACCAAACTGATAATCCACACAAAAACTACTGTTGGCTTTTTAGGAAATTTAGTCAGAAAGTTTGGATTTTTAAAAACATTAATTATATGGATTTTCCTCATGCTTAAGACAGATCAAAATTTGTGCTCTGGAGCTGGTTTCAGCAGCTGCACCATGTGGCTCACAAGCGCCTCTAGCCCATTCCTAGAGGATCTGACGCCTCTTCCAGAGTCTGCAGGCCCACATACAAGTACCAGATGATACAGACTTCTAGATTTTTATGTGACCAGTCCTGGCTATGGCATTTAACTATCATTAATAAAGCAAGAAACCTGGATCAGATACTTTCAGTCCTTTTGAATAAACAACTCTTGGGCCCTTTTCTGGACACTTGTTTCCTATATGCACTAGCCCTCAAGTCTGAGCATAGAGAAGAAATGTATTCAAAGCTGCTACCAGGATCTCTCCTTCAAAGCCTCTGGCTCCTTTGTACCACATTCTTCACGAGAACACCAATACTCCCCATTGTCACCCAGAAATACCACAATTATCTGCTGCTTTATCAGAGTTCACAGACTCTGACCACTATATGGAATCACTGTTTAGTGAGTTTAGTGTACCTAATCTAATGGCCTCTTCCTCTCAAGGCCCTGCTCTGTGGAATCTAACAGTGGACCCTCTGTTTCTACAAGACACCTTCTTACACACCACTTTTTCAAGTCACAATAAAGTTCACTCAAAACACTTTTTTCAATTCTCACAGTCCACCTTATCCCTTTATTAGCATGGATTTCATACTATCAATCCCTATATGCTTTTCTTTCTCTCATACTTTGACAAACTTTGCTCGGTAACCTGGCTAAACACAATTGACCCAATCTGAGTCCAGATCTTAAGCTGACTGAAGTCATAACTGGGTGACTAGCTTCATTAAATTCACTGTCAGAAATTTCAATCTCATTTAAATAAAATTTAATAAAGCCACTTTCTGAAGAAATTATTTGATACTAACTCCAAGTAGGCTACCTACTTTCTCTGATCCTATCAGCTTATGTAAAAGTTCTAGTGTCTTAAGGTTCAGTAAAATAATATTCCTCAAATAGACTATGAACATGCTGTTGTCAGGTTTCCTCCTTTAGTATCAGCTCTTTTTCATGCAAGTCTTTGCAACTACAAAGAAAAACCTGTGGAAAACTCACTCCAAATTCCTATCTTATCCAACTTTACTTCCTTTATAATTAGGAAATCACAAATATCCTTTAGAAAATGTATTCCAGTCCTTGAGAGATAAAAGCCAGTTTTTAATGGACATTTATAACAACTATTACATCTTAGAGAGCTGGATCACTTACTATTTAAGTTAGGAAACACTCTAAGTACACAATCTACTTAATCGTGAGGAACAATTTCTCAGTTACTTTGAAGTATAAAGATTTGCCAATTTTTTTAATGTGTATGTGTGTGCATCTGCATAAGTTTATGAGTACCATGTGCATACAGGGAGGCACAGAGACCAACAAAGGTTATCAGATCCCCTAGAACTGGAGTTAGTAAATTGTGAGCCCCCATGGGATACTTGGAACTCAACCTTGGTCCTCTGCAAAAGCAGTAAATGGTCTTAATTGCTAATCCATCTCTCTAGCACTTTTTGTATTTTTCATTTTATAGGTTTTGATGGGGGAAGGGAGTTTCAAGACATTGTTTTCTCTGTGTAACCTTGGCTGTCCTAGAACTTGCTCATTGGCCTCAAACTCAGAGATTCACCTGCCTCTGCCTCCTGAGTACCAGGTAAACACAGGCAGCACCAAGCCTGGTTCCATTTGATAGGCTAAGACACTAGTTACGAAGCTGCTGCTGGACACTGTAAATCTCTGCTAGTGGAATCTCAAATCCACTTCAGAGTGAACTAGTAAGAACTGCCCTCCATACTGTTTTAACAGTGACTTCTGTTAATGTTTTGTTGTTGGTTTTTAACATCCCCCCTTAAATTTTTATTTTAAAAGGAAGGTTATCTTAATATTTGAAAAATAATCTTACCTAGTAAGAAAAGCTAAGAATTTCTGGTTTAAGTAACAAGATCCTATTCACTAATTTCCAAGTCCACTTTATAAACAATAAAGTCAGACAGACTACTTAAATACCTTCTTAAGATTAGTAGTAACTGGTTTTGCCTTGTTTTTAGCTTTGAAGGTTTTTTGGCTGGCTATATGAAATACATTCCTGGACTTCTGCGCTTTTAATTTGTTCTTGGCCATTATCTAGAAAAGAAAAGGATTCAGTCAAACTGCTTGTATTTTGAGGCACAAATAACATAAATTTTTAAGATCATCTTAGTTCTGATTATTTTAAAAACTGCTACATAAATCCCATGTCGTGCACTCCTAGACATTTTGTGGTACAAATAAGGCACATATATCTCAATCTTTCTGTGTCCCCAGACCAGGCCTGAGAACACCCAGTATTTACTAACTGAATCTGGTACTGTCAACACACACAAGCAAAACTTTTTCTCTACAGCATCTTATAGTAGTAACTGGCAACAATTCTATGAGTTCACATACCAATATATTATCCTGGTATATTAGTATATTAGGTACTGAATACTATTTTCTTCTCCCTTTTTACTTTCTTCTCTCTCGTACCCCATCAAAAACATTCCTCAATCTTGTACTTCCTACCTCCCTCATATGCCTTCCAACAATTTCCCTGATAATTTATATACAAATGTTCTTTTACACTGAAGCCTTGTTTTCTTTGCTTAGGCTAAATGCGGATTTAAGCCATAACTTCTATCCTAGAAGTTTCTGCCAAATCTGTTTAAGAATTTATGTAAAGAATTTTTTAAATACTAATATTTAACATTTATTGAGCTTTTACTATATATAGTCACCGGACTTACGTTTTATGTGATTTAACTCAGTTATTCTTCACCACAACCCTTTGGTAAGTACTATTATTCCGATTTTACAGATTAAAAAAATGGTGCAAAGAGTTTGCCAAAGTTTAAGGGTTTGTCTTGTTTGTTCGCAAACACACACACACACATACACCTTTAATCCCAACTCTCAGGAGGAAGGAGCAGGCGGATCTCTTTAAATTCCAGGCCAGCCTGCAGCCAGGGCTACACAAAGAAACCCTGTCTCGAAAAATCATACGTACGTACATATATACATACATACATACATACATACACACACACACACAGTAGACAGTAGAAAATATATTACAGGAGTAAACAGTAGACAAAAAGCTAAAGAGATTTACTAATCAGTAGTAAGTCTGAAGTAATAATCGATAATTAAATATAACAAACAAAGCAGCATAAAGCATACACAGGTGTAAAGGTGTAACACACTCGAATGACTAGATACGTTTCCTATGCTAAAAAAAGAACAGTTCGAGCACAGCAACAACCTAACTGAAGCCAGGGACTGGGAAAGCTGTGTGGCGAAGACAGTCAAATCACAGGCAGCCTGCCACGGGGTGGCCGCACGGTTTCGGTCCACAGCCCCGAGGAACAGGCATCTGCGGAGGAGGCAGAACAGAGCCGTCGGCGCCGCTGCAGCCGGGCCCAAAGCTTTCGCCCCAGCCGCGGACAAACCTCGTAGGCGTCTCACCAAACCCCCAAATTCCACGCGGCCGCTCAGGCTCCCAGGGACGCCACTCACAAACTCAGGACACAGGAAGTTCCCTGAAGAAGCCGTAACCCCGCCCACTGCAAGGGCCACGCCGAGCGGGGCTACGCCCAGCACGTACAATCCGCGCTCCTCTTAGCCCAGCCCTTCACGCTGGGCCCTCAGCGATAGCCCCGCCCCTTTCCCGAGGCCCCGCCCACCTTGAGGGGCCGCCCTGGAAGGGAGCCCGGAGCCGTGGGGGATGGGGGTCGTCGGTTGTGTGCGGGCGCCTTTTTTCCCAGGTTTGAGCTGGTACCTGGTGAGGCCTCATAGCAGTGAGGTCCCACGCACCGTGAGAGCCCCATCGGTAGTCTCACCGGCATTTGACCGGGAGGCGAGCCGGGGCGAGACCGACGAAGCCGAAGTCGGGCAGTCGCGCCTGAGAAACCTGAGGTCACCAGCCGGCTGCGGGCTCGGGGATGTCCGGCAAGTGGCGCTGCGACACTGAAGAAAAAGTTCACATCCTTTTCACGTTCTTACTTCAATGTTCCAAAAAGAAAATTTCTTACAAGATATCTTTCATAATAATATATTGTGCAAAATGAATTCATTAGAAACCTTTGAGAAAACTCTGGAGAAGCCCCTTCACCTTCCGTCTTTGTGCGTCTGCTCGTTTCACATAAGCGCATTTCAGAAAAGTCTATTCACATTTTTCAAGCAACTACTCACATAATTGTTTCCACATGTTTCTACTTGTTTCCCAGACGTCGCGGGGAAAGTTTTCAAATGAATGAAATGTTGG